CCAAACACCATTGTGTTGATTCCAACACACGGTGATTCCATGTGCACACACTGCAGAGGGTTTGCAAGGCTGAGGCCTTTCTTCCAACTCGCCATCTTTCAGTGAGTTGCTGTGTTCTTAACTGTTTGCAATCACTTGGGGACTTCCTGCAGGAGGGAAGTTCTAAAAACACAGAAGGTAACTGTGGAGGTTACATAATCTGTTGTCAACTTGAGACTTAGAAGGGGTGGGGTTTACCTGCCAATCGAGTGGCAGCTTGATGACCTCATTTGGAGGCGGTAACGAGATAAAACAGCTTACGGGAGGTGGGACACATGCTCACTCCCTGCGAGCCATTTCTGAATAGAAGTCACATGAAGCTACCCTGATGCAGCCAGAGCCCTGGAGCTGAAGGAGCCATGTAGAGACCCCTGCTAGCACTGAGATGCTTACACCACCACTGGATCCACAAGACTTCCCACCCCCTGGCCTGTGATCTTCCTGCATTCGGCGTCATTGCATGTGTTGCGTGAGTCTGAAGAGGACTTTATAGATTGGTATTGGACATATGGGCTAATATCGGACTTATGGACTTGATCTGGACAAGGCTGGGATTGGGATGTTTTCTCAATATTCAACTGCTCTTGTACATAAAGCTCTTTCTTATACATATGTGTCTATGAATCTTGTTTCTCTAGTCTGCCCAGACTAACACAGTAACTGTTCAGCCTAAACTTCACACTCAGCTCTCCTGGCCTTCCTGAGCCTGGGAACTTGCTCTGTGGGGCTGCCAAGTGGTGGTGTCCCGGGCAGACGGCAGAACTGGGCTGCTGTCACTGGTTCCTGGAGCGGGCCTGTTTCTTCATGGGAGCCAGGAGGAGGCTGGACCAGATGGTGTCTGAAGGCTGTCGACACCCCAATCCCACCAGAAGGTGGTCATCTGGATGCTTACCGTGGATACCCTGCCTGCCTCCCAACGGTTTCTGACTTGGGGGCAGATGGTGTCCAGATGCTCAGAGAGCTCACTCCCCCAGTGTGTGAGAGGGCCGGCCGTAGGGAGAGGCTGGTGTGTTTGTTACCTTTCTGGGAATTTTATCAGCTGCCACGGGCATAGTCTCTGCTGACCGGCACCTCCTCCTGCGCTGGGAAGGGGCCATGTGGTCTGTGACTGCGCCCCCTGGTGCCCACTCTGGTCATGCCCACAGAACACACATGAGCAGCAAGGAAGATGGGGGGCGGGGGGGTAGACACAGCGGGGCAGAGGCAGAGCCTGGGGGAGGGCAGGCTTCCCAGCCCCCTGCTGCATGGCTGTACTGTGACTCTCCCACTTTGGCTTTTCCAAGGTCTTTCATCACTCTTTCTGGGACTATGATTGCAATTCCAGCAGGAGTGTGTGTTACTGCTAGAGAACATTTGAGCCCCTGCATTGAGGACTTCTTGACTTTCCTGCCTCCGCACACCTCCACCCCCCCGCACGCCGAGCCCATGGCACAAGGTCTAGGAACAGGGGGGGCCCGTGGCCCAGAATTTTCCACACAAGTCCATAAGCAGACAAGTTAATAAACACCTCCGGTTTATTCTCCCCCCCACCTTCGGAAGCCAGTTCATTCAACTCACATATACACAGTATACAAATGGCTGCCCAACAGCGTTGTTCACATACATCAGCACAAGTTCCGGTTTCACTGCCAGGTGAAAATGTACCCAGCATGTGTAGCTCGTTGCCATAACGTGAAAAATAGGAAGTGTACGTACCCTGCACAGGCATTCGGAACGAAGACGGAAAGGATGGTTTCACGGTGCGAGGTCAGTCGGCCTCAGGCTTTTCTCGCCATCAGTAAGCAAAACAGAACTTTGGGGGCCCAGTGAGTACCATTTCTAAAGCAACCCCAGAGGCAGGTCGCATGTGGGTCAAGGGTGATCCCTGGACCAAGCACGGGCTGGAGGAATATCATGGATTTGATTGTTTGTACCCCTAAATAAGAAGGTGCTGGTGGGCAATGGTTCTGCCATCGGCACGCACACGGCAGATGCTTCCCAAGGTCTCCAGTCCCAGTCCCCTGACAAGGAGCCGTCCCCAGCCTCAGAGGTCTGGCACCGCTGCCCCCAGGCAGGCCAAGCAGAACTCGCCCCTTGGTCAGGGAAGGGCCCGTTGGCTCCCAAACACAACGGCGTCAAGGGCTCTAGGCCAGGGAGGTGGGAGGCAGGCCCAGGGGGAGGGAGGACGAGCTACCCTTCTGGAATGGAATGATGAGGCCGCTGGCCTGGCTGTGTGGCTTCCAGGAAAATGCACGGGGAGGTTCTAGTGTCACGTGGGTCAGAGCAGACTGATGGCTGCCAACAATGGGACGCTAAACCAAGAGCTGTGGAGTGCCACCCATTCACGATGACCCTGTAGGGCAAAGAACTGCCCCATGGGGTTTCCAAGCTTAGAGATCTTTACAGAAGCAGACAGCCTCCCTTTCTCCCGGAGTGGCTGGTTGGAGACTAGCCATTAGTGCTTCTTTTCCACATTATAAAACGCCTATTTTCAACAAGGCCAGGGGGAGCCTGCAGCATTCAGAGACCTTGGGCCTCCCCTCAACACAACCGGCCAGGGTGCAGGTCAGGCTTAGCATGCTTCCCAGGTGAAGACAAAGAGGCTGATGGGCAGTGACCCTGATCACCATCAAACAGGACTGCGTCAAAGAGCCCAGGGCAAGAGGACGGCGTGCTCCGGATCTTGCAGCAGTGGACATCAGAAGGCACTTGGGAGGTTTATTTTCAACATGATTTTATTCCCAGATCTGGCCCTGAGGGTGGGTGGGCAGGTGGCACTTGCACCCTCCACCCCCCGCCCCGACACCCCTCCAGAAAGTGGAGGGGCTAGAATAGCAGAAGCCCGTGGTGGCTTGAGGGGTGGCTTCGCAACATTGAGAATCGCAGCTCCAAGCCCCCAAGCCTAGATCAAATCCCTCATGCCCCTGGGATTCCCTTGGACCAAGTCTTCAAAACGTCCCCCTCATCACTGGCCTCTTCCTCTGCTTGGTTGGGGCTCCCTCCTGTCTATCTGGGTTGAGGGTGAACAAGGTGTCTGTGGTCCTCATGTGGTACTGTTTCTAGCACAGAGTGTTTCTTTGACAAAAGGGATTCTCAAACATCCAACAGAGTGGTCAGCGAATGGAATCCCAGTTAGCCTCGGGACCTCCTTGGGGGCAGGAAGAGGTCTGCTCTTTATAGCTGGCTGAACAGACCGTGGAGTCTGGACCCAGAGCACCCGGGCTCCTGGGCCAGCCCAGCAAAACCAACACCACATGGGCCCGAGAGGAAAATGACCCTTTTCTTTTTTCTTTTTTAAAGCTGTTCTGGTCAAGCTTTTTAAACA